CCACCAGCCAGCCCAGTCACACAGACTCGCGATGAGCAATGCCCAGCAGTTTGACAGCCTCAGCAGAGCGGCAGACGACTGGGCCCTTACCTGAGCTGGGTCTGTGGCCTGAGCCTTTAAATTGTCCATTACAGGCTCTGGGCTGAGAGGGTGTCCTAGTGAGTGGGAGGTAGGGACTGGAGTTCCCAAATTTTAAGTGGCAAGAGTTTGGTATTGCCATCTCCAAGCAGAGTGGACACTGTGGGTGCCTGGCACCTACTTTAGATTGCATGATTACATGGGTGGCTTTGGGGACCTGGGGGGAGATTGTGGGGAAGGGCTTGAGCTACCCCTTGGCAATGCCTCTGGTTAGGAGGCGCTGAGGCACAATGCCCAGTGGTGTGAGGGGGCTGGAAGGAGATATGCTCAGAGAGGCTCAGTTCCAAGCTGGAGAGCTGCCACGGTGAAGAGCAAGGCCATGATCTAGATGATGAGGACCCTGGATTTCCTGGAAACCTCCTGCCACCCAGCTGTCCCCTGACTTCCCACACCTCTTTAAAGATTCACCTCCCACTGACCCAGTGGCCCTCCTGGACCTCCTCTCCTGGGTATGTGGGGCAGCAGGAAGGACATTCGAAAGCAGAGGTGAAGTGGGTGGAGGAGTCAGAATTGGGGAGCAGAGATGTCAGGGCCAGTGGGACAGGTGGGAGATGAGATGCAGGGGTGAATAGGTGCTGGGGCAGGGCTGCCCTGCTCAGCTCTGGCCCTACTCGCCCACCCCCTCTTGCTCTTCCCTGTGCAAGACATGTCACTGTCTACGGAGCCGGTGCTCAGGCCTCCTGCCTGGACCGCTGCAGTATCCCCTAATTGGTCTCCGTCTCTCCATCTCTCCAAGGCGTCCGCACGCTGCCACCACTGCAGCCAGATTAATCTTCTTAATACAACGTTTTGCACATCTCCACCCTCCCTCCACCCCCAAGCCTCCAGCATCCTGGTCAGAGGCAAGTCCAGGCTGAGTGGTAGAATGGGGTCAAGGCTGTTCTGCCTGAACCCTCCCGACCTTGCAGGCTTGTCTCCCCACTGACCACCAACCCTCTGACCCAGCAGACCCTTTGATTCTCTCAGCCCTGAAGTGTGCCCTGCTCATTCCCTCTCTGTACCTTTGCTCATGCTGCCCCTGGCTGGGGATGCCCTCCGTAGGAGGCCTGCCATCTCCTCCCGCCATGGCCCACTGACCTCAGCTGGGTTTGAGCTTCTGGGAGCTCCTGGTGTTTGCCCCAGCATGGTGCTTGGTTGTAGCCTTTCAAGATTCTGTCCTACCACGTGTAAGACCTGCTTCTGCTGTCAGTGCCCACAGGACTCATGCTTGTGGCTCTGGGCCTGGCATTTTGACTGACTTCAGCGCCCTCAGCTCTGCAGAGCAGTTTTGCCGGGAGGTGCTGGTACTCTGTTTAACAGGAGAGGCCACTGGGGATCAGAGAGGTTAAGAGACTTGCCCAAGGTCAAACAGGTAGAAATTCTCAGATTTGGCAGGCCTTCTGGTCCAGGTTCAACACCCCCTTTTTATCAGCAGTGTTCTGTACACAGTGACCACTTGAGAAGTTAGTTCATGGGGTGCTAATGGGCTTCAGGGAGGTTCTGGTGCTGGGAATACTGAGCAGCTGACTTGGGCCACAGTTGCTCCAAGGTGAAAGGCTGAGGGAGGGGAGTTGTTGGGAGATTTGTGCTAACTGGGTGAGACAAGCTCAGGCTGCTTGATCTCAACTCACAGAATCACCCACTAGGCCTCGCCATCTGGGTACAGGAGGGAGGTGGCTGTGTAGATCTGAGAAAGAACTTCCCGGCAGGTGAGGGAGGCTGGTACCTACCTGCTGGGCCTGTGTGTGTGTGTGTGTGTGTGTGTGTGTGTGTGTGTGTGCTTGTTCATCTGGGTGTGTGGTGGCCTCAGCAGCGCAGGAAGAGGCTGAGGAGGCATAGATGGACCGGGCACTGAAGCTCTCTAAGTGAGCAGTGTGACTCCGCCCGGTCCCCACATGGTTGACGGCCTCAGTGTGCTGACTGTCTAGGAGTCCTGCTTGGTTGTGAGCAGGGCAGAAGTGAACTGAATCCTGGGAGGGAGGTACTTAGCCAGAGCGACCGGGGGAGGCTACTAGCAGCAGTGGGCTCCCTCCCGCCCCTGTGTCGCTGCAGTGGCTGTGATCATGGCTCTGGTCCCTGGGGCCACTGTGTTGCTAAGATTGTGTTTCTGCGTCCTTGTCTGTATTTGCAGAACATTCCCAGCTCCAATTTAGTAACTTGGACAGACCTGGCTGTCTGAGAAAGAGGGTTTTTTCCCTATGGACCACGGGGTTCCTGGAGTCCCAGATGGGATGAGGCATTGCCCGAAATGTGTGCAGCCAGGAAAGGGGGAGGCCTAGGAGAGTGCTCACCCTCCTCCCCTCAACTTCTCCAGCCTTGGAGCCACTGGTCAGGCTGGGCAGGGGCTCCAGACTTTGCTGCCCCCCTCCACGAGCACCACTGATGCTGGCTGTGGGGAGCCCTGCCCCATCCGTCTGATGACGCTCCTGGTTGGTGTTTCCCTGAGTGCAGATTGTTCCAGGCCCTGTCAGCAACATCAGGAAGCGGTGGGAACACCCTCCCTGGACATGCCTGGCAGCAGCTGTACTTTTTAGATTCACTGATGCAGTAAATACCTGATCTCCACAGCCACTCTGCTCCGTTCCTTTTTAAAAATCTTAAAAAAGGTTAATATTAAAATATTAATTTTCCTTTTTGGTAGCTTCTTTCGAGGTAGACTGTATAGGCCATAAAATTCACCCGTTCACCTCAGCAGTGCTTCGAGCCGGCTTGTTCTGTATTCATCCTCTGTGTTCAAGTGAAATATGATGTTATATATGTTCAAAGACACATTATGTATTCAATCCTTCCACGTGTCTGGCTTCCCTCGCAGTCACCTGGGTGGGTTTACATCCCCACTGTCTAGTATTTTCGGAGTCAGAGTGAGGTTGGCACTGGGTCCCACTCCCTGGCTCTCCCTCCCTCACCACCTCTGTCCCTCTTTGCCCCCCTGTTCAGTGAGGCTGTAAGGGTGTTGTGTGGCTGGCAGGGTGCACAGCGAGTCGGGAGCTGAGCTTGGGGAGACAGGCTGGGGGGGTCCTCTTTGTGAGGAGGGGCCAGAGCCCTGGGCTCTGGGCTCTGTCCTGACAGTGGCCCTTTCCCCACTGCCTGCACCTGATGGGACTCAAGGTCCTGTCTCTCTGTGGCCCCATTTGCTAGGTATGGGGGCAACACCCTTCATCCCCCATTAGCAATCTGGGGGGCAAAGACTCAATTGAGATCTGCCGGACAAATGAGCTATGTGCCACACCAGCTACTCTGGCAGCTGGCTCTCAGCTCTGACCGCTGACCCCGGCTCTGTCCCCACCTCTGCCTTTGAAAAGATCCAAGCTGGGATTGAGAGTAGCCGTTGACCTTCACATGCCCCTCACCTGCTGGTCAGAAGCCCTCCTTCTAGCCCTCTCCCTCTCACACCCAGGTTGGCCACACAGGTAGGGGCCATTAGGTGGTGCCTAGGGACTGTCTCCAGGCTTGGGTGACCAACCCAAACAACCAGCCACATGAGGTACCCCGGTGAACAGGGGACTGATGGACAAAGGTCTTCATTGGTGATGTATTTAAGTTAAACTTACTGCATGTCTATCATGGACCTCAGACTTTTGGATGAGCAAGACTCATTGGGTGAGCAGTGGGCTCCATCGAGCCAGTCACATCTTACCCTGCATCCTCAGCCTTCAGCCCAGCCATTCCCCTCCCTTTCTCCCCGTGGGGCTCATTCCTTGTGCTCAACGGTGATGCCACCACCCTCACCCCCTCCTGACCTGTAAAGACCCCACCGCCTTTCAGAGTTCATTTTAAGTGCTGCCTCCACACTAAGGCTCTCCTAGTGTGTTCCTCCCTCACCTTCTTGCCCCTGAACTCCTGGATTTACTGTCTGGATAATTTATTTTGGCACAGAAGCATCTCAGGCCTCTTGTGATTATTCAGCTGTTTTGTGTGTGTACAACTTGTTTCCAGCTAGAAGCTGAGCTCCTGGGAGGCAAGGAGCAGGGCTGGCATATTTTTGCAGCTCGTTTAATACCTGGTGGATGTCTAGGCATACAGCAGGCACTTAATATTGAAAGGCGGGGGAGAGAGTGAACTGGAATCGCAGATGAGATGGTTTGACATAAGTTCTGATGACCTTCCTAGGATGTATCCTTGGTCCCAATCCCAAACCCTGGGTAAGAGCATAAAAATAATTATTTCCCTGTGCTTTCCCTGTGCTTTATGTTTGGTCACACAGGTTGAGAATCTTGCTGAAAGGCAGACAGCATGTTAATTAGATAGGCTGAGAATTACTCAGGTATCCTAGTGTCAGGTCAAGGCTCCAGGTGCCTCCTCGTCTGTAATGACCCTCCTTGGGGTGCCCCTTCTGTCCATCAGCACGTTTGTGTCTGCATGAATGCATTTGTGTGTGTGCACATGCATGCTTGTTTGTGTACATGTGTGTCTGGAAGGATGTAGTGTAGCCAACAGGTGCCATGAGAAGGTGGCCAAGTCCACAGCATTGCGGTGTTGCACCTAGGACTTTTCCTGTGGCTGTGTGACTGGGTGTGCATGTGAGGCCTGTGTTATGCCCTCTGACATCACCAGCATCCTGCGCTGCTGGCCTTGCTGACTGAGCTTGCACAGCAGCCCAGGGCCGATGAGTCCAGGAGCTCCAAGCCAGAGGTGCGCAGAGCACTTCGCAGGCCTCCAGGGAAGCCAAGACCTGGAGCTGGGAAGGGGAGGGTTTTGGCTGCCCTGAGTGCCTTTCCTTGTGGACCCTTCATGAGCCTGAGCATCCAACATGCCACTCCCCACTCCCAGCCCCCTTAAGCTTGCTGTTCTGCTCCAGTCCCCGGGGCCCCATGCTGGGGAGGAGTAGGAGGACGGGCTCAGGGACAAGTCACCACTGCTTCACGCCCCACCCTGCCCTCCAGCCCGAGGAGCTTACCAACGCCCTGGAAATCAGCAACATCGTCTTCACCAGCCTCTTTGCCCTGGAGATGCTGCTGAAGCTGCTGGTGTACGGTCCCTTCGGCTACATCAAGAACCCCTACAACATCTTCGATGGTGTCATCGTTGTCATCAGGTGTGGCGATCCTCTACAGCTCCTCTCCTGAGTCACTCAGCCCATCCCTCTGGGGAGGCAGGTTCTGGAGTAATGTCACTCCATTGTTGGGGACTCTCTGCCCCCCACGCTCTACCCCACCCTCTCCCTCAGCCCCAGCTTGCTCACTCCGAACTTAGCCTCACATCTCCATCCACCAGGGCAGCTCTGCGATCTCCTTTCCCCACTTCTTGTCCTCCGCCTTATGCGGCTATGGGGTAGGTAAGGGCCGGAGAGTTGGCTTTGGAGAGGACCGGGAAGAGGTGTGAGGTCTAGCCAGCTGTCCCTGCTTGCAAAGTGCTTGGAAACCGTCTAGGACACCACAACTTGCTTTAGGGTTTCCAAGACCTTGGGAAAGTGCTGTGTCCTCCTAGGCCCAGGGCCAGGAGAATGGCTTTATTGCTTTTTGGAATTGGCTTTCGATTTCATTAGACAAGAACAAAGCAAATATTCCATAACTGGATGCTGTTGCATTGGCCAGATTTTGGCAGAGGGCTGTCTGCCGCCAGGATGTGATCTCTGGCCCAGAGGAGCGGGTGGAGGGGCTGGAGCTGTCACCCAGATCCTCACCATCTCAGAGGCTCCTGTCAGGTCACCCGAGGGCCTGTCGGTGCCCCACTTTCTCCTGTCATGTTGGACAGTCCAGGCCTGCAGGTGCTGCGGGCCTTCTCAAGGGGAGGGACAAGAGAAAGGAGAGCATGCATCGGGCTCAGGCGACTGCCCCCCTTGCAGCGTGTGGGAGATCGTGGGCCAGCAGGGGGGCGGCCTGTCGGTGCTGCGGACCTTCCGCCTGATGCGGGTGCTGAAGCTGGTGCGCTTCCTGCCGGCGCTGCAGCGGCAGCTCGTGGTGCTCATGAAGACCATGGACAACGTGGCCACCTTCTGCATGCTGCTCATGCTCTTCATCTTCATCTTCAGGTGAGGGCAGGACGGCATCCCTGCCAGCTGGGAGAAGGCCCTGAGGGCCAGAGGGTGCTCGGGTGCTGAGCTCACCGCGGGGCTTCTTTGTCTTCAGCATCCTGGGCATGCATCTCTTCGGCTGCAAGTTTGCTTCTGAGCGGGATGGGGACACACTCCCGGACCGGAAGAACTTTGACTCCTTGCTCTGGGCCATTGTCACCGTCTTTCAGGTTTGAGGGTAGCAGGCCTGGGGTAGAGGGGCCAGGCAGGGTGCCCCTGGTAAGGGCCCTGACTCCCCTCGTCTCCCTGCAGATCCTGACCCAGGAGGACTGGAACAAGGTGCTCTACAATGGCATGGCCTCCACATCGTCCTGGGCTGCCCTTTATTTCATCGCCCTCATGACCTTTGGCAACTACGTGCTCTTTAATCTGCTCGTCGCCATTCTGGTGGAGGGCTTCCAGGCAGAGGTAACCCCCTGCCTGCAACAATCCATTTCCAGGAGGACTCGGCTGCCCAGCTTGGCCCAGGAGGTCCACAGGAAGTGCCCTTCAGACTAGGCTGGGGGGTCTAGGGGTAGGAGACTTGGGGGCTGGAGCCAGGTGGTGGAGTGGGGTCACCGGGTTCCCCTCAAAGGCAGCTAGACCCTTCCCCGGAGGGCAGGCAAGACAAGTGTCAGCCTGGGTGTCGCAGGATCCCTGAGCACAGGTGCTCCCCGGGGCCTTCGGAGTGGGCCCCTCTGAGCCCAGAGTGGGGGAATTTTGTGTGCAAGTCATCTGAACTCTGACTGAGCTGATGAAGATGCCACCAGGGCCCAGGCAGGGCTGAGCTGCCCAGGGTGAGAAATGAGCCCAATTAGCAGCAGGCATGGCAGAAATGAGCGTCCTATTTCCAGCCCCAGCTTCATCACTTTCGTCATAGGCAGCGTCATCAATTAATATTGATTTACATTGATCCTGCCTGCTCCATGCCAGGGCCCCTTTTGTGCCCAAAGAACTGCACCCCCTCCTTGCTCTCAGCTCTGCCCCTCTTCCCACCAAGCCCCCGGCCCACCCCAGCATCTTGCACCTGGCACAGAGCAGCTTGACCCAACCTAGAAATGCTCCAGATTGGCGGAGGAGAAGCTCTTGGTCCAGTTCTCTCCGGGTGACCCGGATGGAAACTCCCGCTGCGGCCTGGTCTATAAATACCCGGCACATGGTGGAAAAACAAAAATCTATTTTCTGACTCTTTTCCAGCCTTGCGAAGGAGGGCTGTTCCCCACGGGTCGGGCCGGGCTAGTGGGGTGTGGGTGCCTCTGTCCCACACTGCACATGCCTTTTCTACTCCTGTTGTAATTCTGCCATTATCTGATATCGTATTCCCTCCCCTCCTGGGTGGCACAGAGGGCAGCTTGATGGGGAGGAGGGGAGAGGCGGGCCCTGCCTTTGGTGGTGAGTGGACCTCCTAGAGGAGGGAGGGACACTGGCACTCTCACTGGGACAGGACACTTATTTGGAGGTTCCCGGAGGCTTGCAAGCTTAAGGGGTGCCCCCGTGATCCCACACAGGCCTACCACCCTTAGCCTCTGCTCTGTGGGAGGAGAAGCTGAGTGGGTAATGTCCCCAGCCCCTTCCAAACCACAGCTCCTGGTGGCTAAGATTTCCTCAGAAAATTCCCATGAAACTGGAGGGAAATGGCTGTTCAGCTGCCCAGCAGCCGGCAGCCTTGGAGGTGCCTGCAGACAGCCCCCTCCCCACCTCCAGGCCCTTTCAGCAAACACCTTGTTAAATTGAGTGTCGCTGAGCTGGCCTGGTTGCTAGGCAGCCGCAAGTCTGCGTGTGGGAACAGAGAGCAGCCTGGCCCTGCAGCCCAGCTTGGTCACTCTGGCCCACTCTGGGTCTGTGGCTGCCCCAGCTGAGGCTGCCCCTGGTGGCCACATCCTCCTAAACCTTCAGAGCCCAAGTGCCTGCAGGGAAAGGGTCTCCCTTAGGATGTGATGCACCAGGTCTGGGGTGGGCTGGAGAAAGGATCTCAGGATCAACCCCCCTCCCAGGAGGTGTCATGGCCCTGAAGTCCCCTCGTGAGGCACTGGCCCAGCTGTGCCCTGTCCTGCAAGGTCTCTCAGTGCCAGTGACCTGGACACCTCCAGAGGCACCTGAGCTCTCCTGTATGGAGTTTCAGGGGGCTGCACATATACCTCTGAGGGAGTCCCACGATACTGCGGGGGAGATTGGTTTTTCTGTCGTGATGACCTGCTTTTTTGCAAAGGGAAGTAGGGACCCCCCCACCACCACCACCTTTTGCTGAGTTTCATCAGCAGGAGGCCTTGAGGGTGGCCCCCCACTGGCCATGTAACCCTGTCAAGAGTTAGGAGGGGGGCCCAGGGGATGGGCCTGCTCAGCTGTTGATTTCCTGACTTGCAGGGGGCAGCGCCCCGAATCCCTGTGTATTTATCATCCATACGCTTAATTAAATGAACAGGCAGCAGGCCCGGCATGAGGCCATTAATTGATATGAAACAACATCATCGCAGTCATCCCAGCGTTACTTGTCACATCCCATCCCAGTCGGACAGTTCAGACTTGGAGGGACTCGGCCGCACACATGGGGGTCAGGAGACCTGTTCTTGCTGCTGGTCTTTTGTCTCTTTCCTTGGCCTCTGACTTCCATTCAGTTCTCCTCCCCACGTGTGCCCATTCCCATGCCCGCCACCTTGCAGGCAGGGAGAGGTGAGCTGGAGCTTCAGGTCAAGACACCATGCGCCTCTTACACTCTGTATGACTTGGGGTGGTTTCTTAACTTCTCCTACCTCAGGGGCCTCCTCTGAGAAGGTGCTAGCGGTAGCTACTTGCCACCTTGCCGAGAATCCAGCTAGTGTGAATGAAGCAGTTCCGTGGCGCCTGGCATACCCTCAGTGAATGCTATTGGGGTTACTGGGGGCTCCATCTCCTTTACTGCCCTTGTCCCCATCTTTGTGGCCTCTGCCCTCACCCTTCAGATTCCTTCTGGCCTGAGGGCCTGTGGTTGAATTCTGGAAGGCCATTCTGTCCTCTTTCTCCCCCACCCCCCCTGCTGTCCAGTTCGCTCCCCTCTTTTTCTTCATCCTCTTTGGACACTGCTGATGTTTGAAAGCCCGAGCGCCTGTGACCAGCTCCCGTCCCCTGCCTCCCCCTCTCCCTGTAGGAAATCAGCAAACAGGAAGATGCGAGTGGACAGTTAAGCTGTATTCAGCTGCCTGTCGACTCCCAGGGGGTAGGTACTCGGTCATGAGCCGGCATGCCCCCGTGCCCCGAGCCCCGTGCACCTCCACTCCGCCTCCGTGTCTCTGTGCTCGTGTTGACGCTCAGCTACTGTGCAACTGTGGTAGCCATGGTGGTCATTGATGTCGTGAGGTTTGCTTCGATTTTAAGTCCCTTCCCCCTCGAGGACCTCGAGGTCCCTCTTGCCTCTGCCCCCATCAACCCGCAAGGGGCACCGTCCCCATCGCTGTCAGACCAGTGACTGGGGGGAGCAGGAAGGGACTTAGAATCCTCTGTGTGCACGTCTCGTGTGCGTGCCTATGCTGAGGTCCCCAGGAGTCTGAAGTGTCCCGCCTCGGCAGAATATCAATCCGTGGCCCCCATCCCCCCTCTCTCCCCTCCCCCTTGCCCTGAGCCCCCGTTGGGGTCCCCACAAGCTGTCTCAGCTCAGGACAAGTCTTTGGAGAAGGATGCGGAGGTGGTGCCTCATTATCAGATTTTTAAATCCGCTTCCCAGTCTCTGGCCCCTTAACCACTCAGGAGGTCCAACAGATATTTCAGGGTGAGCTCCTCCTCTGGTCCCCACAGCCTGTGCCCTGCTGTTTCCTGCACTGGCACTGGAATTCAGGGCGAAGCCAGGATTCCTGCGGGACCCCATAGTACTGCGCATCCTGAGCAGCCCCCTGGAGATCCCACTTGATAATTAAAGGCCTCGTTAGGGATGTAAACTGAGTTAATGAAAATGATCCCCTGAGATGCCAATTACGCAATATTTATGTCCTTATCAAAAGTAGCAATCAAGTATTTTTTAATAACTTCTTAAGGAGAAGTATGTAATTACTGGGGAACCTACTGACCTGCTAAGAAGAAAGGAAAAACTGTCCCAGAGACAGGGAGAGAGGTAAAAATGGGGCCAGGACAGGGGGGTTGGGAAGCTGCAGAGAAACAGCAGAGGGACTAAAGTGGCATCCTTGGGCTGAGTTGCTAGTCTGGGGTCTTTCAATTTCCTTCCAGGGTCCTCATGTCTGAGACTGAGTGGGGTAGCCACAGAGGGAAAGCATAGGGCATAATGACCTTGGGAATTAAGGCTCTAGTTAGGTCCCCAGCTCCCTGCAGCCCATGCCACCGGCCCACCTACCTGCTGACCCTTCCCCTTAGCCATTCTTGGAGCCAACTCTAGCCAGGCTGGTTGTGCTGTCGGCTCTGGGTTTGGTCTTCTCTTAGGTGTGGCTGGTGGGGGGGCAGAGGTGTCAGGAGCCCTGGGCCCCAAGCCTGGGTGGTCTGGCCTGCGCCGGTGCATGCCTCGTGCCGTGGTTGCTGGTTCCTGTGGCCTCTATGTAGTATGCGTGTGTGTGTGTGTGTGTGTGTGTGTGTGTGTGTGTGTGTGTGTAGACAGGGAGATAGTTCATCCCACCCAGCCCTGCCTGGCCAGATCTCTGACGACCCACTGCTCCCCACCCTAGGGAGATGCCACCAAGTCTGAGTCTGATCCAGATTTCTTCTCACCCAGCCTGGATGGCGATGGGGACAGGAAGAAGCGCTTGGCCTGTAAGTATCTGTCTCAGGGATGCAGCCCCTGGTCATGGGCCTGCCCTATGTGGACTCAGGATCTCTCCCTTGCTCCCCTTGCAGTGGTGTCCCTGGGAGAGCACCCAGAGCTGCAGAGGAGCCTGTTGCCACCTCTTATCATCCACACAGCTGCCACACCCATGTCCCTGCCCAAAAGTTCCAGCACTGGCCTGGCTGAGCCTCTGGGCCCTGGTTCCCGCCGCACCAGCAGCAGCGGGTCAGCCGAGCCTGGGGCAGCCCACGAGATGAAGTCACCGGTAAGGGGTCTGACGGAGGGAGACTTACTGAGTCTGGAGGGGTGTGAGGACAGAGGTGGGGCAGGCCCAAGGATGCCTTTGTGCCATGGGCTGGACAAGCCTCAGCAGGGGGTGGGGGGTATCTATGAGGACAGTAATGCCGGCAGGTGGAAGTGCTATAGGCTTGGAGGCAAAAGAACAGGGTTCTAGTCCTGTTTCTTCAGTTCCTAACCAAGTGAGACTCAACCTCTGAGCCCCCTCTGTAAAATGGAGGACGCTACCTTCTTAATACCTCACCATAGTTATGACAAACCCCATCCAGTTACTGAGTCTGTGCCAGACACTGTTCTAGACACGACTCATAAGTTTCCTAAATGCATTTAATCCATAGCAGCCCTACGCGGTAGGTACCATTATTATCTCCATTTTACAGATGGGGAGCTAGGTCTCAGATTTCCAGAGTGCTATGTGGAAAACCCTCCAGTAAATAGGTGACAGAACAAGACTTTTAACCCAGGGGGTGGTGTTGGGCCCACATTCTCACCGTTATTGTATACTGCCTCCCAGCTAAGTGAGGAGTAGGTGCTCGTGTCATTCTACTTCACGCTAGAAGACAGGCACAGAAAGGTTTAGTGATTTGTCCATGGTCACACAGCAAGCTATAGTGAGCCAGGACCTGAGCCCTCCACATCTGGTTTGATGCCAGGGAGGCTCACAGCAGGCAGGGGACCTATGAGGGGGTCTCAGGGCTGACAGGTCCTGGCTGAGACCACCCTCTCCTCTCCTCACACCCAGCCGAGCACCCGCAGCTCCCCGCACAGCCCCTGGAGCGCGGCAAGCAGCTGGGCCAGCAGGCGCTCCAGCCGGAACAGCTTGGGCCGTGCCCCCAGCCTGAAGCGGAGGAGCCCAAGTGGGGAGCGGCGTTCCCTGTTGTCAGGGGAGGGCCAGGAGAGCCAGGACGAGGAGGAGAGCTCAGAAGAGGAGCGGGCCAGTCCAGCGGGCAGCGACCGTCGCCACGGGGGCTCCCTGGAGAGGGAGGCCAAGAGCTCCTTTGACCTGCCGGACACTCTGCAGGTGCCCGGGCTGCACCGCACAGCCAGTGGCCGAAGCTCGGCCTCTGAGCACCAGGGCTGCAATGGCAAGTCAGCCCCGGGGCGGCTGACCCGGACCATGCGGCCTGATGACCCCCCACTGGATGGGGACGATGGTGACGACGAGGGCAACCTGGTGAGGCCCCTGCGGGTCCAGCAACCCTTCACCCTTGACCATGAGGGAGGGAAGCCATATCCAGCCTGGCCCAGGGCTGGACAACCCCTCTCCCAGCTTTATGGCATTCAAGGAGTTACCATCATGCCCAAGAGATCTCCAGGTGATCCTTGCAGCTGAGCTCCAAAGAGCCCCTTTCTCCCTCGGCCCGCCCTGAGAGCCCCAGATCCTATCATGCCTGGGGCTTCGGCTCTGCAGCCCTCGTGGATATGAATGGCTTTGGGCAGATGTGTATGAATCTTTCATGGCCCTCCCCCTGTGACTCAGAAAGACCCATCACTCATTCTCCAAATTGATGCCCTTCCTGTCCCCTTCTCTCATCTCCACCTCATCACAAGCCCTGACTTCACCCCCATCCTTACCCATTCACCTCGCCCCCAGCCCCCAACCCCCTGCCACCCCCTTTAACCCTGTGGGCAGGGCCCAGGGGCCTGGAAGCTCGGGGCTAGCCTGTGAGGAGGAGTCAGTGTCCTCTGTCCCAGGTGTGTCTTTGAACAGACAGTTGTGATGGGTACAATGTTTGATAATTGATGGGACTTCCAAGCCCAGTGGGAAGGGAAGGAGGGGGGCAGGGGGTGCTGGGCTGGAGGAAGAGATGGTAATAGAGTGAAGAGCCTTGGGGAGGAGAGGAGGGGTGGAGGAAAAGATGCTCTGGGGATGACAGGGGCCTTAGATGGAGCTGGGGAGCTGGGCAGAGTGTTGGGCTCATGGAGTGAGGCTCATGGAATTGCTTAGAAGGAGCAAAGGGGTGGAGAAACTGGAGGCCTGGCCCTGCTTACAGCCTTGTGATCCTTCCATAGAGCAAGGGGGAACGGATAAGAGCATGGATTCGAGCCCGGCTCCCAGCCTGCTGCCGTGAGCGAGACTCTTGGTCTGCCTACATCTTCCCTCCTCAGTCAAGGTAAGCGGGGGTGGGTGGCCCTGGCCTGCATCCTGGCCTCTCTTTCTCCTGGGAAATTACCACCCCATGACACCATCTCAGAGGTGCTAGCAGGGCCCCCAGATATGGAAGTGTGAGGGCAGGGCCTCAGGTTAGGAGGACTCAGGATAGGTCCTCCTGCCAGGCGATACTCCCGCTCTCTCCTGTCTCCCACTCAGCCTCTGCCTGTCTCCGAGCAGGTTCCGCCTCCTGTGTCACCGGATCATCACCCACAAGATGTTTGACCATGTGGTCCTCGTCATCATCTTCCTCAACTGTATCACCATCGCCATGGAGCGCCCCAAGATCGACCCCCACAGCGCTGTGAGTCACCGGGACCAAACAGGTGGCTGTTGAGTGCCTGCTCAGTGCCAGGCCCCTCAGGGTTAGCACTCAGAGAAGTGCAAAGTGGGAGGGTTCGGATAGGGGGGAGAGCCACTCCCTGACTCCCACCCTTGTGACTGGCGCACTCTCCTGCCTCCATTTCCCTGTGTGATGCACCAGCCCAGCTGGGGGAGTGGACCATGCTCCCTACCTGGGTGAAAGTGGCTCTGTCCCACACCACAAAGGCCCACCCAGGCCTATGCACCCATGGGGGAGACCCTCACCCAGACATGATGCAGAGGCCCTGCTACATGCACGATGCAGAGCTGAAGAGGGAAGGCGCCCTTTGCTCCTCTTGGGTCTGCCAGGTCACAAATAAGGTTTTCAGGAACTTAGGGGAGACGTTGGTCACACCTGCTTGACTGAACCTGTCAGCCCTTCTCAGGGCGGGAGGAGAGCCAGAGGTCTGAGCATCTGGATCTGCTTCCAGAGACCCAGCCTTTTCAGGACAGGCCCCACTGGTTGGGAGCTGTCTCTTCCCAGCCTGGCATCGTAGCTCCAACCCGCTGACAACAGTTTGGGTCCGAGAAGGGCGGGGTAGCGGTGGCTCTGTTCCCCTAATGGCATTTTGCGCCACTTGGTTGGAGGTGCCCCTCCCCCCCTCCCACGCAGCCTTTCACACCATTGTGCTGAGACTTCTGTTTTCCATTAGGGTGGGCTCCAGCCAGGCCAAGGCAGGAGGAGAGAGCCTGAGGAGCTGAGGGGCTCACCCAGGAAGAGGTGCCAGGGACCATAGGACTGGGGACCCCCCCAGGGCCTGTGTAGGGAAGAGCAAAGGCAGCTGGGGGCACTCACCCCCTTATCTCCTCCTTCCCACGGCCCTGCCCCAGAACTCTCTGCTCACTGTGACCTTCTCTCTCCATCTTCTGCTCAGCTCCTCCATCTTGAGCTCCGTCATTGTGCATGCTTCTCTCCTGCCTGTCTCTGTTCCTCTCTGATGCGCACACTCAGCCTGCAGCTTCTGCAGCTCCCTACACCCCTCTCTTAGCCACCCAGTGATGGAATTAGCCCTCAGATATCAGGGGACTGGGTCACCTCCTTTCCCGGGTGTCCTGCCCCAGCCTCTGCATAGCATGAATACGGTGCCGGGATGCAGAGCCTGTAGTCAGGCCGCAGCCTGCCCTGCGGCTCCGCTTCTGGGCCACAGCAGGAAAGCAAGTGCGTGGAGAAGACAGAAATGTAGGATGGGGGTGGGGGAGGTCAGAGATGAAGTGAAATCCTGTCCCAGTTTTAAGAAAGGAATCAGGGAATAGGGCTTGAGATATGGGGCTCAGATGACAGCATTGTGGTGGGGGTCACTTTCCTCTAGGCTGCTTGGGGTGGGGGCAGGTCTATTCAGGGCCAGGCATGAGACTGCCCACAGTACAGCAAGGGAGTCAGGGAGCTTGGCACTGACTGTGTGCATGCTGGGGAGGGGGTGAACAGCATAGGAGACTATAGAGTCAGGGAGGTTTTTCTGAGTCAAATGTTGGAAGCCTTTCCCGGCTCCCGGAGGCAGATGAGACTACATTTTGAGGGATTATTTCTATAGCTTGTTTGCAGAGTAGGGGTTCCTGGTGGGCAACACCTGCCTGCTCTCTCTTGCAGGAACGCATCTTCCTGACCCTCTCCAATTACATCTTCACCGCAGTGTTTCTGGCGGAGATGACAGTGAAGGTGATGGGAGGGGGGTTCTCATTCCTCAGGGGGCCGCCTGGTGTCAGGTGAGGGTGGAGGGCAGGGCTGGGGACCTCGTGGGGGTGGCAGTTGACAGTGGGGTGTCCATGTGGCTTTCCAGGTGGTGGCGCTAGGCTGGTGCTTCGGGGAGCAGGCGTACCTACGCAGCAGCTGGAATGTGCTGGACGGGCTGCTGGTGCTCATCTCCATCATCGACATCCTGGTGTCCATGGTGTCCGACAGTGGCACCAAGATCCTGGGCATGCTGAGGGTGCTGCGGCTGCTGCGGACCCTGCGCCCGCTCAGGTGAGCTCCTGCCCCGCGTCCTCCTCAGGGACGCCTGCAACAACCAGTGCTCCCGCATGGAACGAGAGCCCCTCGCGACCTTGCTTGCTGCCTGTGACCTCCCTTGCCCCCTACCCCAGCCCTCACTCTGCTTAAACCATGGCCCCAACAGTGTCTCTCTAGGGTGCCCCCTCAGTGACACTGCCCACGTGGCGTGCCCCTCAGGGCTACTGCACCCTGACCTTGTCCAGAGCTCAGTAGCAGGGACCACAGGCAGGTGTCCTTCCGCGGAAGCTCCCCATGGAGAGTACCCTGGGGTGACACTAGGCCTGCCTGTGATAACAGCCTCCTTTCCCCACCTCCAGGCCCCTCTCAGGGAATCACCCACCAGGCAACACTTCTAGGAGAACCATCCTCTCAGGATAAACCTCCCCAGTAAGGTGCCCCCCTACCCCCAAGACCAGAGTCAGAACTTTCTGGAAACTATGAGCAGTGCTCCCCTGGCCCTAATAATCACCTCCCTACCTCCACCCTCACCACCTGCCCCACATGCTCCCCGTGAGTGTATCTCCCTGTCCCCACAACACATGACCCCTGGGTAACACCTCCCTGGAGTCCAGTCTTCCCCTCCTGCCCACGGTGCTATCAGGCAGAGCCTTAACATCCCGAAGAGGAGATGGAAGCGTGGGCTTGGGGCATCTGCACCCTGGTTTGAGAGATTATGAGGGGGGCTCTGGAGACAAGAAGACAAGAGGATACCCCTCCAGAATCCACGATGGGGGCCAGAGTTGAGACAGCAGTGGTGGCAACATACATGTGGGCGAGGGCTCCGCCGGGGAAGGGGCAGGGTGTCCCAGCCTGGTGACCCCCTCTAAACCCCTTACCACCTCCCCAGGGTAATCAGCCGGGCACAGGGGCTGAAGCTGGTGGTGGAAACGCTGATGTCCTCCCTGAAACCCATCGGCAACATCGTGGTCATCTGTTGTGCCTTCTTCATCATTTTTGGCATTCTGGGAGTGCAGGTGTGTGGGGCTGGCTGTCCACAGAAGCTGAGGAGCAGCCTTCCTTTGGGCCCTTGGATGCTGAGGCTAAACTACCACTGCTGTTGCCGCCTTTATTCCAGAAAGAATAAACTGGGACACTTCTCTCGGGCCCCTTTGCCTCCTGGGCATTTCACAGAAAACTGAGGCCCTGAAGAGGGCTCCAAGGGGAGCCAGGACCTCTGAGAGGCTTCTGGCCTCAGCCTGCCTGTCCTGCCTGCCTCTTGCTCTCCTCTCCCTGCAGAGGCACAGACGTTGGCGCTGGCCCACAGTCTGCTCAGGGATCCCCTCCCTTCCTTCTCTGCCTGAGCAGAGTGGGCTGCAGGCCAGGCCTGGGGATCCAGGGCCCAGACAGCTGGGCCAGGTTAGTGGCGTGCTGGCAGGCAGGCGGGTGCAGACCCCAGACAAGGCAGGAAGTGGGGGCTGCTGGGGAAACTTGGCCTCCAGCCCAGGGAGGGAACTTGGCTTTGGAGGAAAAAGAGCAGGAGCTGCCTGCAGGATTCAGCAGACGCCTCTGGGAGCTGGGAGCCCCTCCACTGCTGTCTTCCAGAGGCTCCCCCACCCAAGTACCACTGTTTCCACCGCAGGGTAGACAGCTGGCAGTTGGAGCAGCGGGGAGCTTCTGGGTGGCTACCCCCCCTTCCTTTGGCTTCCTGGGATGTCTTTCTGCCCTGAGGAGGGGGCTGTTCCTGGTTTCCTAGAACTCTCTTGCCCCAGGGACCTGACTTGGGTACATTTGCCAAGGCTGTGTGCTGCCTCTCTGCATGCCCAGTGCCTCTTCATGTCCCTGGGTTCCCAGCCTGATTGAGTGGAGGGAGTCAGTCCTGAGCCCATTCCTGGGCTTCCCTGTGGATTTAAGTCTATCCCGAGGGTTTGCTGAGGCGCCCTGGGCCTCCTGGCCCTCAGATCCCTTCCCCACCCACAGTCATAGCCCCAACTGTCTGGCATGAGCTTTCAGTTTGAGCCCCCTTTCTGCCACTTGCTGGTTCTGTGGCATGAGCAAGTCAACCAACTTCCCGAGCCTCAGTTTTCCCAACTATAAAGTGGGTTTGGTAATACCTAGACCACATCTACCCTTCAACCAGATCGGCAGCCCCTAGCCCAGAGTGATTCAGTGGGTCTGGGGTGCTGAGAGTTTGCCTTTCTAGCACACTCACAGATGACGCCAAGACTGCTAGAACCACTCACCTTTCCCTTTGTAGAAAGGCCTCTCTCTCCCTTCCCCAGTGTCAGCCCCAGTACCTCTCCTCCCCTCTCTAGGCCTGCTTCAAGGAGCCCAGAAGGGGTGCCTGCAGGGGAGGTGCCTGCAGGGGAGGCTCCTGGCAGCTCCCTCACTTGACTCAGCACTCACCCTCACCAAGGCTGTGTCAGGAGCTCTTGGGCTCCAGGGCCCTTGGGGGCTGAGGGGATTGTGGCATAGTGGGCTGCCTGTGGCCTCTGCTCACGTGTTTCTGTCTCCGGCTGTGTGTGTGTGTCCAGCTCTTCAAAGGGAAGTTCTTCGTGTGCCAGGGCGAGGACACCAGGAATATCACCAACAAGTCCGACTGTGCAGAGGCCAGCTACCGGTGGGTCCGGCACAAGTACAACTTTGACAACCTTGGCCAGGTGAGCCAGGCTCCGGGGTGGAAGTGGTGGCAGGATCTAGGGAAGACACAGGTCTGTCCTCACTGATGCATGCAGGGCAACTGGCCTGCCAGGGCCTCAGCTTCATCAGTGGTATCTTCGTGGGGCCTGTCCTAAGGATGCAATGAGCTAACAGTGGCTTAGCCCGGTATGGGGAGCCAGCATGTTGTCAAGACCATTCTTTTTCTTATTCCACAACCACAGAAGCAGAGAAATGTAGAAAATTAAGTAGCTTGCTCAGTTTTGTTGGTCTGTTTCCCAAACCTACCCTGGATTTGACTTCTGGGGTCCCTTGCTCTACCTGGTTGAGATCAGAGGATCTGATTATTTCCCTTGACTCCTCAGACTTTAAACCACCACAGAGGCCTGAAAAAGTTTGTTCTCCTGGGGCCTCAAGTGTGACTCTAGCCTGACCTCTGCAGGGCTGGGGTTCCTTGAGCTGCTGCCAAGAGGTGCTTTGGGGGAGGTGGTAGGTGTTTTGGTCATACATCCTAGTTTCAGATGGTCGCCTCCTCCCCTCTCTGCCTCAGGCCCTGATGTCCCTTTTCGTGCTGGCCTCCAAGGACGGCTGGGTGGACATCATGTACGACGGGCTGGATGCTGTGGGTGTGGACCAACAGGTAGGGCCAAGGGTGGGCAGGAGCCATCTTTGGGCCCAGGTCCTCAGCATGTGTTGACACCATGCATGACCACACAAGCACTGGACAGAAAGAGAGCAAGACACTTTGGCAAAATCAGAGGCATCACCTCGTACAGCAGAGGCTATAGCTGGTAGCCTGAGGGTCAAATCTGGGCCAGCTTTATTGGCTTGCAACATGTTTAAATGTTTTTTGAATTAGTGAGAAACATTTAAAAATTGGTGAATTTCACATGAAAATCGAGATTTGGGTCTTCTCAGGAGAAGTCCAAAGATTTGAGGACATTGGACTTGCATCCCCTCGGGGCAAGAATCAGCTGGAACAAAGAAGCAGCTGCCCCTTTTGGAGAGAACTCTCCACTTTGCCATAGTCTCCACTCCTCCCTCCTGCCTATCACCAAAAGACATCATTTCTTTACATTGCCTACTAGCTAATGAGTATGCAGGTCCTGTCTTAAGGAACCCAGACAGTGGGGAAGCACCTGAGCCTGTCACCCTTGGGCTGATGCCTCCACCTGTCCTTCCTGCTCCCTGCCAGCCCATCATGAACCACAATCCCTGGATGCTGCTATACTTCATCTCGTTCCTGCTCATTGTGGCCTTCTTTGTCCTGAACATGTTTGTGGGCGTGGTGGTGGAGAACTTTCATAAGTGTCGGCAGCACCAGGAGGAAGAAGAGGCCAGGCGACGGGAGGAGAAGCGTCTACGAAGACTGGAGAAAAAGAGAAGGAGTAAGGAGAAGCAGATGGCTGGTCGGTAGTCTTTCCACATCTCTCTGAGTCGTGCTTGACCTTGGCCTTGCAACTGTAGGGGGGCAGGGGCTGGGGGTGGGGGTAGGGAGAAGACTCCCACCCCCCCCTCACCTCCTCCTCCCTCAAAAGCATGTCAGCCTTTAGAGCCCGCATGAAGCAGACCAGTTGAGCCACGTAGTGGAGGGGGAACTACCCCCACTGCGGGGCTCCCCAGGTCTCAGCATCATACCCCTGGATAATGCCAGGTGGGAGTCGATGCACGGCCTCTCCCAGCTCGACTCTCAGAGGAGCTCATGGGATGAGATTCCTGCTACAATCCAGTGACCCAGGGGTTGGCCCAGGTGCCACCCTTGCTTGCCCCAGGGTTGGCAAGCAAGCCTCTGGAACCCGTGCCTGCTCAGTGTCCACAGCTGCTGAGCAAGGCCTCAGCAGAACTGCAAATGGACAGCAGCGTGAGAAAACCCAGACCCCGACCTATCTCCAGCAGAACCACCTATGTCTTTTTTTTTTTTTTGCCATCCCTGTAAAAAAAAAAATCTCCCCCTGACTCAGGGAAGGTTGGCGGTCACAGGAATTCTAAGTTCATGACTCCGGCCTGATAGCCTTCAGCCCCCTCAGCTTTCCAACATCTCTTGACCTTGGCTGGGTGAGGACCCCATCCCATCTCTCCTCACACTCTTAACACATTGGGGGAGGGGTGCGCAGAATTAAGCGAAGAGACACACAGACTCCAGGAGGCGACAGGAGAGGTGGCGGTGCAGGAGTCCCGTGTTCTCGGTGCCTCCAGGTGTCTGCACCAGTTCCCCGTCGGCGGGGCTCCTGCCTGCCTGGTATGCGGTACTCTCTGACTCTCTGTCACTGCCCACGTCTCTCTCCGTGTCTTTATGTGTGGGTTTCTCGAAGCCTTTGTGTGTCTGTCTCTGTTTGGGCTGCGGGTTTCCCTTCCTCTCTCCGCCCTTTCACAAACTGTCTTCCTTACTCCGATGAGATGCGTGTGGCGCTTTGAGGTTTCCCCTTGGGTTTGTTGAAATGTGAGTACCACCAAATTGGGTAGGGGCTGTGGAGCCCTACCTCCTGTCTGCCTGGCTCTGTGCCCTGAGGCCTGGGAGGGGCAGGTGGAGGCGGGAGGCGGGAGAGTGGGAGCAGGCGGCGAGGTGGGGCAGAGCCTGTGAGAGGCCGGGCAGCTCCAGGACATTCAGACTCTGGCCTGACAGCAGTGGGTGGTGCGTTTCTCCGAGCCCCTGGTCCTCCACACCCACCCCCGGCCCCTAACACCCCGCCCCCAGCTCCAGGGCAGCGGTCCTGTCTGGGCTGTCCCCGTGGATGTCTGAGGCTGAGGGCGGCACCCCCAGCAGCCATGCTCCCTCCGCCCGCTCCTCCTTGCAGTCTGCCTTCCAGGCAGGGCATCTGCACATGGAATTCTTTTGGCAGGAGGCACTTGTGGCCCTGCCTGACCAGCTGGCTCCCCTTCTGGGGTCTGTAGCCGGCTCAGGTGCTGCTGAGGCCAAGGCTTGGGTAGGAGAGGACATCTGTTACGATGACAGACAGCCCTCGCCTCCCGGTGCCTCTGGCTCCCTGTCCCTGTGACCCCGACGGGCCGGCTGAATTGCTCATCTTTCTCAAGTGTCCTGTGTCCCGAGTCACCCATGTTCAGTGTGCCGCATTCACAGGCCAAGTGAGGGTTGGAGCCAAGGGGGCGTGAGCTGCTGAGGGGCCCCTGCCCCGCGCACCTGGTCCAGCCAGTGACCAATGTCGTGTTTCGTTCTTTTAGATCTAATGCTGGACGATGTAATTGCTTCCGGCAGCTCAGCCAGCGCGGCGCCAGGTACTGCGTCTGGGGTTGTGCGTGCGGGGCGTCCTCTTTGCTCCCTCTCCGTGGCTCATTGATTCTAGGGGTGAAGGGGTGAGGGTCTCTAGGGATCTGGGCTCTGCATCATCCTGTAGGCCTGGGCTCCTCTAGACCGGAGGTGAGGACCACGGCACACATCCCCACCTTGATGCTTCTTTGAGGACCCTCTTCCTCCACCAAGGCTTCCAAGGGCCTCCCCAGCCCCCACTGCTTCTCCCCTCTCCTGCTCCTCCTCTGTCACACTGTTGGATTATTAGAGCTGCAAATCTCCCCGGTCTCCTTTTGTCTGAAAGGGAGACTTTGATCCAAGAGAGCAGGGTGAAGGGAGCAGAGAGGGAAAGGCTTTGTTTTAAAAATGTAACAATGAATAATTGATCAGGTTCATTAATAGTCAAGCAACCATGTCACGTCATCACCACAAACAGCAGGAATTGGGGATCAAAGTCTGAATTAGCCACAGATTCTCCCCCAAAAATCCTTTGGAGTGAGTTGGGTCCTTCTCTTTGAGAGCTGTGTCCCTGGGAAGGCCCTCCTGACCCTGCCTGCCCTGGTCCTCGGGCTCATAAACCCCAAACCTGCCTCCCAGGTGGAGGTACAGAGATTCGGAGATCCTGACAGGGCATGGCACCTTGTCACCCCCTCTGATGTCTCCACCTGTGGCTCCCAACCTGTTCATCCCAAGGGCCACCCTTAGCATATCCTCTAACAGACCCCTTATTTTAAAAGACTGTCTTTGCAAGTAAGAGCACTTCAATAGTGATTTTTTTCACTTTTTTACTAATCAAAGGCACATCTAATTGCTAATCAGCTTCTGAGCTGCAGAAGTTTCATATGGAATGGTGGCAAAGAGAGACTGTTTTGCCATTAAATTAGTCTGTGGGGTCTTAACACGGCATATGTATGATTTATTTTAAGCTTTTAGAAATATTGCAAAGAACATAAGGACCCCCATGTGGCTCTCTTCTCAGGCTGCTGAGCACTTGGGACTGCAGGCTGGGAACCACTTTCTCTGCCATTCTGCACCCCTACCCCCCAGAAGCGAGAGTCCGGCAGACACTGTCCTGTGGCTGATGGGCTGTTGGATCTGATCTGTGGGGGCTCAGGGGACCCATCCAAGAGGGTCCCCTGAGCCACCACTTGGGAGGTCATCCCTGAGGCCCTGGGTGGGTGGATGTCTCTCGTGCCTGTGATGCTGACTACGGTGTTTGGTTTTGTGAGATACCATCTCTGGGAGCTCAGGAGTTCCCAGTGGCTTTGTGTTGGATTGTCGGGGACCCTCATCTCTGTGTCGGCTGTTTTGCAAATTCTTGAGGTGTCAGGGGACAAGACAAGTTTGGGAGGACATGATCTTCAGCTTCTCCCTTCCGGGTTCACCTGAGCTGTAGACCAAAGTAGCCACATACACTCTCACTCCAAACACCCCTTCATCGGAGAGCTGACCCACAGAAGTTTCTCCACCAAGAGCCAACACAAGCCAACTCATATGACCCCGAGAATTCCTCCTGATATAACCTCAATGCTGAACACTTGTGATCACCCCGCACCCCCTTTCTGGGGGCTTCGTGCCAGACTGCTATTGGCACCTGGCCTGTGCACTTATTGCACTAGTGGACCTTTCTTCTCTGGGCTGGTAATGAGAACTCAGAGACCCCGAGCAGGGGGTTGGCTCACCCTGACCCTTCTGTCCAGGATTTGGTGTTCTGCATGCTCTACACTAGCGCTTTTCAAACTTCAGTGGATGTAATAATCACCAAGAGGACATATTAAAACAGGTTCCTGGGTGCTACCTAGGATTTCTGAGATTGATCTGGGGTAGGACCTGAGCACCTGCATTTCCAGTCAGCAACTCTGGGAGGGGAGAGGGAAGGGGCAGACAGTATGGAGATGAAGTCACACCCCCTGGTCGGGGCTGCTGAAATCAAAGGCAGGTACCACACCGCCCTGCTAGCACCACCCCACCCTGTGCTGCTCCCAGCAGGAGAAGGCAGCCAGACCCCAGGGAAAGGCAAAGGAGAGAGGCTTTAATTATCAGGGGAATGGGTCCAACATGACACCTGGTGGTGGAAGGAGAAACCTAGTTTGTTAGATCAGCCCCAGTAACCTCTCAGCCTTCAGCACCAGCTCTGCTTCCCTCTGTCACCCGAAGCGTCTACCGGTCCTCTCTCTGCCCGCCAGGACCTAGAAATCAGGCCTGGCCGTGGCAGCTGAAGGTGTGGCCTATGCCGTGGGGACCTGTGTCCCTGGGAGTGGCCCCTGCCTTCTTTGCAATCCCTTCCCCGGCTGTGCCCTGGGCCACCAGTGACCCCTACTAACTCTCAGTGCCTGTCGTTCTCACTCACGGCCTTGCCCCCACCCTGCCCTCTCCTCTGCTCCCACCCTTGACTGGGGACCCGGAGTCCGGGGAATGCCCTTCTCCCCACGGTCTGACTCTGGTATTTTCTCCACCTACGGCAACTGATACTGGTGGGAGGCAGGCGGGTGCAGCCAGGGCTGCCAACCTGCCAGGGACTGCAGGGCAGGGCTTTTGCGGGCTGTGACTGGGGCTCTCAGAGCAGCAGACCCACCTAAGACTCCTTCCAGGGCTCCTTACCAGTAAAATTGAGCTTCTCTGGGCAAATTACCCAAGGACGCCTGCTGGGTCAGAGCCCCAAGACCTTCTGTCTAAGCCTGCCTGGCAGCCACAAGGGTCCCGGCCGGGAGTTAGGGTCCTGACCCAGCTGCTGCCTCACAGTATGTGGATGACTCACTTTTGCTGGGCTTCCTTCTCTCCCTCTGGAAAACAAAGGGAGTAGCCGAGGAGATGCCCATCAGGTTGGCCCTTGGGCTCTTTGGATTTGTGTTTTGGGGGGATTCTGGCAGCCTTGGCACCTGAGGGTCTGGGGTAGAGGTTTGGAGGAGGAGGGGCTTCAGACCTCAGAGTACAGACCAAGAGGTCTGGAAATGGCCTCTACAGCAGACACCCTGCCTCAGTCCTGCCTCCACCTTCTCCCTTGGTGTCTTGGAGGAGGGTCCCTGGCTGAATCCCAGCCCACCCACCTCTCAGACTTCTAGAGCAAGGCCGGAAGGCAGAGGTGGTGAGGAGGCTCCATTTGGCCTGGGGCTGCCTACACAGTCAGACTGGGGTATGGGGGGGGGCACTCTCCCAACCTCTCCTCTGCATTGTCTCAGCTAATAACGGGCCTAATAAGGAGCCGCTTTCTCTAACCTAATTGTATTCAAACATTTTAGTTAATTCTCCATTCATATTTTAGCATAATGGGATCGGGTGCTCTCGGCACTTATGGAGATTAATGCAGAGAAAGAGTTCCGGCTGCTAAGGCAACGCCGGGCGACTAGCGCCCTCTGGTTCTTGTGGGTACTGGAGGAAGGAAGGAAGAGGCCACTCGCCTGGTGCACCCTCCACCATGCCGTGTGGATGACCTGTGGTCGCTTGTCCCCTGTCCCCGACCTCTCCACCCTCACCCCCCTGGGGGTCAGGAGGGCCGCCAGAGCAGACAAAGCTACGGCTGGCTGGTCCACCCCCCAAACGAAAAGAAGGCCTGATGCCCTCCTATGGGGCACCAGCACTCACGGGACCTCTGCCCCTTGGTTATCCACACCTCCAGGCCGATGCTGGAGAGTGGCATCTGGCGAGGCTGAACACGCAGCTCTTGGGCACTCTTCTTCCTTCGGCCTTAGGTGGGGGCCCACCCCAGGCCACTCCCTGCCTCAGTTTACTTCTCTGTTAAATAGTCCTCTGCATGGAAAAAGGACAGTTATATCTGAGCTGGCCTGGGCCCAAAGCTTCCTGCCGCCCCTGAGCCAGCCACCCTCTGGCGCGGGCCTCAGAGGCTGCAGCCCTCGCTGGCTGGCTTCTGCCCTAGACTTCCCGAGGAGGAAGGGCTGTCTGGGACCTGAGGCTGCCCCAACCTTCCCCCTAGGGAGCCTCCTTTTTCCTCTATGGCTGCCCGGGTGACCAATCTGTCAACTACCTCCAGGTGCCATGTATCTCCAACTTGGCCTGGCCTTTCCTCAGCACCTGGAGGAGGGGCCCCCTGCAATCTCCTTTCCCCCAGATTCATTCTGCCTGCTTCACAGGCCAACCTTCTGGCACCATGATTTTAATAACTAAGTGGTTCCCTAATTACAAGAGAAATATTATGCCTCTGACAGATCTCAGACAGTGCTTCCAGCCCAGCCTGCGATCTAATGCTGCCCTGACACCCAGAGCAGGCTGGGCATCGCCTCATTAGAAACTGGGTGAGTCCTTCAGGTGGGGCCCACCCAGAGGAGTGTGGACAGAGCAGAGCCTGTGGCCTCCCCGCCCCCCACAGAAGGGTACAGGCGGCCCAGGCCCTGCCCACCTCCACAGGCCCTCTGGGTGGGTCAGTGCAGCCAGCCAAGAAGATGTCCGATTTCCAATCTCCGGTTTTATCTCCAAATCCCTGCTCTGTGTAATCTCTGCTCCCCTCGAGGGGCGAGCTTGGAGGAGCTTCGCCTCCCCATTGATGGTTTCCTCTGAGCCCCATCGGACTGGTGGTTTTTCATTTTATTGATCTGACCTCGCTGCAGAATACAAGCTGAGGGGTTTATGAAGGGCTGGAGGATTAGGGAGGCTGCCTCGGGAGGGGGCTCACCTGGTGTCTAATGTGGGTGGGGAGCTCTGCATGTCCTGAGCCCTTCTGTGCCCAACTGTAGCCAGTAGAACAAATGCTTGGAGGGGAGACGCCAAGAGAGCTCCCCGGGCCCCTGAGAAGGGCAGTGTGGAGGGCGAGGATGCCGCGACACTGGAATGTCTCAGCTCTGGCATTAGAGGCTGGTGGCTGTGAGGGACAGTGGGTGGCGGGGGCACAGGGGACAGGGGTCCGATGGCTGCTCTGCTGTCCTCCCTGCCCCATTAGAAGCCCAGTGCAAACCCTACTACTCGGACTACTCCCGCTTCCGACTCCTCGTTCACCACTTATGTACCAGCCACTACCTGGACCTCTTCATCACGGGTGTCATTGGGCTGAACGTGGTCACCATGGCCATGGAGCACTACCAGCAGCCCCAGGTAGGAGCAAGTGACTGGTCCTCTGGGCCCTGCCGCCAGCCATGGGGCCACCGGGGTGAGACTGAGCCAGAGCCTCTAGCAAGTACTGGGCATTCCTTAGGGGGCCCTCTTGTACCCTTTGCAGTGATTCTTGGAGGTGGGTATCATCTTGGTTTTACAGATGAGGACACTGAGGTTCAGAGAGGTTGGTTGACTAACCAAGGTCACACAGGAAGTAGGGGACCTGATTTTTTCACCCAGCAAATACTTATTGAGAGCGGATTATATTCTGGGCTCTGGACCTTTGAGGATAAAGAAGGCAGACCAATGCCTGCCCTTTATGAGTTTAGATTCTAGTGAACATCAAGCTCCAAAACTCACCTGTAGCCTTGCTGCTTCTTGAATCAGCCTCCATGAACGTCCCTCCAAGCCTCAGTTTTCCCATCTGTAAAATGGGGGCATTGAATTGGTAATGCACAGGCCCCTTTCCAGTTCTAGCATTCCATGCCTTCCAGCACATTCTCACGTGGTCTCACGTGGCCTCCTCACCATCCCTCAAGGAGCAAGATCCTTTAGCACAAAGCTTGAATCATGCATGTAAATGAGGACCCTGCTCTGTCCTGGGGTCGCGACCAGTGGTCAGCCATCGTGACTGCAGCAGAGAAGAAAGGTGTCCTGAGACCTTGTCTCCCAGACCTGGGAGGTGTGGTGAAAGGGGGGGCAGGCTTCACCCCTGAGCCTTATGAGACCCTGCGTCTTGCCTTCACCCCTGCCAGATCCTGGACGAGGCTCTGAAGATCTGCAACTACATCTTCACGGTCATCTTTGTCTTGGAGTCAGTTTTCAAACTCGTGGCCTTTGGCTTCCGTCGGTTTTTCCAGGACAGGTAGCTGAGAGGAGGGGGTGGGGGATAGCGGGACGAGGGTGCATCTCCTGGGGAAATAGCAGGTCAAGTGCCTGAGGACCTTTCTTGGGTCCTGAGGCTCAGCCTCCACTCCAGGACCTACCCAGGGCTGATAGCAGGGTGGGGTGAGGGCATCCGGGGCCTGGTACATGAGAGGGGGTGGTGGGAACTCAACAAGACAGGGCTGGGAGACATTGGCAGGTGGAAATCAATGTGGCCTCAACTGAGGCTTGAGAGCACAGAGACCGGAACCAGACTGCCTGGAACAGATTTTGAATCCCGGCTCCACCATTTAGTGGCTGGTGACCTAGGGTAAGTTAACTTCTCTGTGCCTCAGTTTCCTCATCTGTAAAATGGGAGATGATAACAGTATCCACATCACAGAGTTGTGAAGATTGTGAGTTCCTGTTTGTAAAACCCTTAAGACAAGCTCGGTGCACAGTGTAACCACCCTGTAAGTGCCAAAGAAAAAAGCAGGCTAAAGGTCTAGCCTTGCCCTTGCCGCCTGCTGGCTGTGTGGCTGTAGATAAGTCACTTGTTCCGTGCAGGATTCAGAGGCTGGACCACCTGACCTCCACCCTCCTTTCTGTGGCTGGGAATGTGCACTTGTGTGGCCACAACTGCCCCCTTCTCCACAGTAACCCCCACCCCCACTCAGGGAGCTATCCTGGACTTTCCAGGTGGAACCAGCTGGACCTGGCCATTGTGCTGCTGTCCATCATGGGCATCACGCTGGAGGAGATCGAGGTCAACGCCTCGCTGCCCATCAACCCCACCATCATCCGCATCATGAGGGTGCTGCGCATCGCCCGAGGTGGGTCCCAATACCGCCACCAAGCCCACCCTTCCAGGGTGACCAGCCCAGGGGGAGATAGCAGGGGTCAGCTCTGTGGCTGGCCAGGGACTGGGTGGGTGTGGGTTTCTGTGGGTCTTCCTCCCAGCCTTTGCCAAAGGGGAAGGCAGGGGCCTGAGGGTGGAGGTAGAGCCGTGATGGCCTGGCTGGCCATCCCACCTGCCCCAGCCCTGGCCTGGCCCTGCCTCCACCAGCTGTGGGACCTGGGACCCAGAGGGGCCAGCTCACGACTTTGTCCTGTTCTGCAGTGCTAAAGCTGCTGAAGATGGCTGTGGGCATGCGGGCGCTGCTGGACACAGTGATGCAGGCCCTGCCCCAGGTAGCTGGAAGGTGGGGACGGGAGGGAAGGGTCTTCTGGGGAGGAGGAGGTGCTCTCCGAAGGGGCAGGGGGCTCCTGGAAGCCAGCTGGGAGGCCCAGCGGCACCGTTTCCATTTCTTTTCCTCTCTTCCAGGTGGGGAACCTGGGACTGCTCTTCATGTTGTTGTTTTTCATCTTTGCAGCTCTGGGCGTGGAGCTCTTTGGAGACCTGGGTGAGTTGGGTGGGGAGGGCGGAGGACCAGGACGGGAGACCCAGGGGCTCCGGGACTAACCTGGGCCTTCTCTCCTGCCCTGTTCCTCCAGAGTGTGATGAGACACACCCGTGCGAGGGCCTGGGCCGGCATGCCACCTTTCGGAACTTTGGCATGGCCTTCCTGACCCTCTTCCGAGTCTCCACAGGTGACAACTGGAACGGCATTATGAAGGTGAGAGCCATGGCGGCGGGGGTGTCCGGGGCTGGTGCCAGCCCCAAGGAGACAGCCCTTTTTCTTGAGCCAAGATCCCTTAGCAAAGTGGATTGGTCACGAATAAAAGCATGTGACCTGCTACCCGCTGTGCTGGAACGCTCTGGAACTCCTTCCCAGAATAGTGTCTAATGTTCTTCTGCCCCAGGACACCGTAACTCCCTCCTCCTGCCCATCCTTTCCCTTCAGTGCCGGTGAAACCCACTCCCCAGTCTGCCCCCCCAGCCTCACCCTGTCACGCGCCTCCCCAGGACACCCTCCGGGACTGCGACCAGGAGTCCACCTGCTACAACACAGTCATCTCCCCCATCTACTTCGTGTCCTTCGTGCTGACGGCCCAGTTTGTGCTGGTCAACGTGGTGATCGCTGTGCTGATGAAGCATCTGGAGGAGAGCAACAAGGAGGCCAAGGAGGAGGCTGAGCTGGAGGCTGAGCTGGAGCTGGAGATGAAGACTCTCAGCCCTCAGCCCCACTCGCCGCTCGGCAGCCCCTTCCTCTGGCCTGGGCTCGAGGGCCCTGACAGTCCCGACAGCCCCAAGCCTGGAGCCCCACACACAGAGGCCCACGCCAGAGCCTCCTCCCGATTTCCTGAGCACCCCACGGTGAGCAAACCCCACCCACCCGCACAGCAGAGACGGTGGGGGGGGGGGTGCAGGGAGAGCAGTGCAGCGGACCCCAGGGCTCCTTCTGGATCCTTCTGCCCCTCCTTCCTGGATCTGGAGGGGCAAGGGTCCCTGTCCATCCCCAGAGGTGGCTGCCCACATTCGCCACATAGGGTCACCCCAGCGAGCCACCGCACCTGTGCTGGCTCATCCTGCCCCTGTACCTCCAGTCCAGCCTGGCCTCCCCTTCCTGGCTCTTAGGTTCAAGGCTAAGTTTACTGTTTCAAGGCTAAGTTTACTGTTTCTTACCCTTTCCTTCCCACCCTTTAACCTATCGGTTCCATCTGCCAATCTGCTTCCCTCTCTCTGCTTCTCCACTCCCTGTGGGTTCTTCTCATCTTTGGCTTCCCATCTCTCCCTTCTCCTCCTGTCACTGTGTGTGCATGTGCGCATGCCTCCTCCCTGTCTCTTGTCAATCCCCTGCCACCACGCTTCCCATCACTGGCCCTTTCTGACCCCCTGCTCCCCTGACTCTCCAGCTCCCCTTATGGGCTGGTCCTCCCCAGGACAGACAGCTGTTTGACACCATATCCCTGCTGATCCAGGGCTCCCTGGAGGGGGAGCTGAAGCTGATGGACGAGCTGGCAGGCCCAGGGGGCCAGCCCTCTGCCTTCCCTTCTGCCTGCAGCCTGGGTGGCTCCGACCCACAGGTTACTGTGCCCCCTCCCCTGCTGTGCCGGGCTGTGCCATGCTGTGCCGTGCTTCTGGGGAGGCGGGGGTGTTTCCTGCCCACTGGGTATCTGGAAAATGAGCAGCCCCAAGGCCTCGGTTGAGCTTTGGACTTGGCAGGAAGCAACCAGGGGTTCTTCCAGGTTGAGATAAACCTCTGAAATACATAAATTTGGAAGGCAGGGGTGCTGAGATTGCACTTCTGAAGAAGGCTAGATGGAGGAGGGATGTGGAGGGAGCATTTGTAAGAAAGAACCTGGCAGAGGAGAGGGGGAGGCAGAGGATACGTTGGCTGTGGGAACTCAGTGAGTGGAGGAAGCAAAGTGTCAGGTCTAAGGGCCAAGGGCCTCCGGGGACAGGGCTGATGGCCAAGGAACCCACTGAGGGACTTGGTCTTAGAACATGCTTTGCTCTCAGTGTCCAGCCCCCACCCACCCCCAGTCTTTTGGGGGTACATTTTGAACCATGGAGCCCACTGGGCATGATGAGTGCTGTGCCATTTCCAGTAGTCTCTGGCCTGGTCCCGAGGGGGTGGAAGGCTGCACCTGGGAGTGGATTCTGGGGACCTTCGTGTGAAATAGGACTTGGTTTCTACTCCAGGACCAGCCCCCACCCACAGAAGCACATGTTCTCCCCCAGTCCCATCTAAATGTGGGTCTCCTCCTTTCGGGGGTCCTTCTGCCTCCTCTTCTCCTCTAGACGCCTTCTACTTGCTAAAGCACCCCCCATTTATCCTCCCAGGTCAGGGGCTGCAAGGAAGCCCTGGTTAACCTAGAAAGGAGGCAAGGAGGCTGGACTCAGCGGAGGCAGGAAAGCCTAGTGTTGAGCGGGACATCTGTGGCCCGAATCAGTGAGATGGTCCTCAGCTGAGGGGACCTTGCCGCGGGGATTCCTAATCTCTTGTTGGGGTTCGGTCTCAGACTGGGGGCAGGGACCTGCACATGGCAATGACCTAGAATAATCAGTGGCCGAGTGATTCCATCCCTAAGAACTCGCCATCCTGAAGGAGGCCACTGGGGGAAGGCGCTGGGAGAGAAAGTACTGTGGTGAGAAGGTGACTTGGCTGCCCAGGGAGGGATGGTCCCTCTCTCCCCCAGGCCCTGGTGGCACTGAAGCCCCCCTGCAGGTCCCAGGTGAGACAACCAGATGGTGTGGCGGCCCTTCCAGGCTGGCGGGAGGAGAGCATCTCCCAGAACCAAGCCAGAGAGGGCGGGCTGCTGCCGGAGGCAGGCGGAGGAGGGCCCAGGAGGGGAGAAGCCAGAATCTGGGGGCAGGCCAAGTCCTGCCAGGCTTTTGGAAGCAGAGAGAATAGGCAGAAAACAGTCGTCAGATTGGCGGCTTTGTCCCCAGCGCCCCCCACGCTGCTCTGTCTGTGCTGAGAGCGGAGAGAGGCGCTTTGCTGGCCTTTCTTCATTTTTTTTTTTTTTCTGGTATCATCTTTATGAGAGTCGAAAGTCCTCCCCATCCCGCTCCCTCCCTGGGGGGTGGTAGTGTGGGAGGGGGCTGTTAAGATTCCTGGGGTATCTTTAGAATATGTTTCTGTGTCTCCTGCTTTGTCAGTGTTTGCTCTGGCTCTTTGGTGCCTGCTGCAGCCTCTCTGATCAGCGTGGGGGTTTGAAGTCTGGGGGAGGGGAGGCACTGTCAGTTAGTTACTTGGGAAAGGGCTGGGGAGACAGAAGGGAGGCCTTTTCCCCTGTGCTTTGTGAAAAGGGGGGACGGGGGACTCGGTGTGTGCTTGTGTGTGCGTGTGTGTGCACACGTGAGGGTGTGCGCTGTCCTGGTTTCTTATGCCTGATCATCTCTCTCCCTGTCTAGATCCCTCTAGCTGAGATGGAGGCTCTGTCTCTGACGTCAGAGATTGTGTCTGAACCGTCCTGCTCTCTAGCTCTGACGGATGACTCTTTGCCTGATGACACTCACACACTCTTACTTAGTGCCCCGGAGAGCAATGTACATACACACAGCCCCTCACTGCTTCCCCAGCCTCCCTGGGGCCCGGGCTGGCTGCAGGGCTCCAGATCCTTCTGTTCCTCTTGCTCTGCCACCAGGCCCCACCCAGAGCCATCAACCAGAAGGCACTTAACACCCCAGGCTTTGCTAGCACACATCTTTCAGTCCCCCCACTGTGGACAAACAAATTAGGTAAGATTAAATTGGGGCCTTGCCCGGAAGGGTCCAAAGGCAGCGGTTGTGAAAGCATTAACCCAACCATCCAGGAGTGACACACAGCCCCAGAACAGAGGCGGCATCAGGCAGCTGACCAAAGGGGCTGCCAGGATGCAAAGTCAGTCCCCATAGCTGGAGCCCTGTGCAAGCCAGCCCTCGCCTCGCACCCCTGCACCCCTCCCTCCCACCTCCCCCACATGAGCCATTTGCAACCAAGTAGTGGGTGAGAGTCACATCTCTGCTGCCACCACCATGCCCTTCTCCACTGGGAGGCCGTCCCTGTCTCCTCTGTCACTGTCCCTGTGTGTCCCTGCGTCCTGGGGGTGCTGTGGGGAGGGAGCTTCTTTGTGTTTTGACAGCTTCTCCACCCTTCTCTGGCTCCTGATCCTCTTCTGACTGTAAGCAGCCCCTCCCCCCTGCCTTCCTCTTGGGACTCAAGAAGGGGCAGAGGCCCCTTCCTCCAGCAGGGCTCACCTGGAGCAGGGTCTTGACCACAGAATGGGGGCTCCTAGGGGTCCTGAGGTGGCTGGCAGAAATGGAATCTGGAGCTGAGAGGGGAAGCAAAGGAACCAGATTGTCATCTGACACAGCCATTGTCGGGCCTGAGGGGGCTGCTTACCTGGCGGGACCCTTTTGGGGACAGGAACCCAGAGCCTCTCTAAGAACTAGAAATGAACAAGGTGATGAAAAATCTCTCAGGAGCAAGCCTTGGCTCCCTGTAGCTGTGGCCAAAGACTGACTACCACCTTTCATCAATAGATTGATCCAAAAATCCATTCCCAACCACCATCTATCCAGTAAGGGAGGACCTGTGCCCCACAGTACCCTGGCATTGCCCCTGCCCCCTACCTCGCGGAATCACTGTGTAATTAAAAGAATGGGGTGACGTGGGGTGAACCAGCTGTGACATCTGCTAGTGGTCATTCAACCCACATTAACCCACCTTATGCCCAGTGCTTGGTCCTGGGGCTATTTTAAAGAAATGGGTAGTGAAATAGCATCTGCCTTGCAGGGGGTCTGGGTCCTGCTCCTCTTCCCCAATCCCCTGACAGCCCCAGCACAGGAATTGGGGGAGGCCTACTTGTTAGCTTGTAATCCTCCATTATGCCCGCTGCTTAGAACTTCTAAATGGGGCGATGAACATGAGCTTTCCAACCTCCTGCAGTGTTTGAGGGGGGAATGTTCTCCCTCCTTCGGGCACCTCCTCAGCCTCCACCATCCCCACTGGAGGCCTGAGGTAATGCAGTATGGATAGTTTTGGGGGGCAGGGCCTCTCACCCCTCTTGCTTCCTATGTGTAGAGGGCTCATCTGTGTGTCTGCCCCTCTCCCCACCACACCCATCCCATCGCATCTTGTTTGGGAAGGGGATGGGGGCCAGGGCCTGGGTGGGAGTGGGCAGCGACTGGTTTCTGTTGCTCAGCTCTGTCTCAGTTACCCAATCCTGACACCCCCCTCCCCGCCACCTCCCTCCCCTGTTCCTTTTGCAGATGGAAGCCCACTCAGATGAGGTGCCCATCAAGCTGGCACCAGACCTGCTGACTGTGAGGAAGTCTGGGGTCAGCCGAACACACTCTCTGCCCAATGACAGCTACATGTGCCGGGATGGGGGCACCGCTGACGGGTCCCTGGGGCCCAGGGGCTGGGGACTCCCCAAAGCTCAGTCAGGTACCGGTATTGGGGCTTAAGTTCAGTGCCACTGGCACACAGTGCTTTAGTTCAGTGCCAAACTGGGGTGTAGGAGGGCCACTGAGACAAGAAGAGTACCTGAAGAGTCACTCCAGCCCAAAGGGGCGCATCCAGCCCCTGCCTGAGGTGGCTCCCAGCCTGAGGGGAGTGTTCTGTGGTGAGGGTGGGGTTCTGCTGGGGGAGGGGGAGAGGAAGGGAGATGGGCTTAGGTAAGAACTAGGGACTGAGGCTGATCCTCTAGCGCCTCTCTCCCTCCTCCCAAAGGCTCCGTCCTGTCTGTGCACTCCCAGCCAGCAGAAACCAGCTACTTCCTGCAACTTCCCAAAGATGCACCCCATCTGCTCCAGCCCCACAGCACTCCTACCTGGGGCACCATCCCCAAACTGCCTCCACCTGGCCGCTCCCCTTTGGCCCAGAGGCCACTCAGGCGCCAGGTGAGTAGTTGTGGGGAGGTGGAACTCAGAGTGCTGGGAACCCCAAACAGTGGGTGATGACTTGGGTTGCTACTGCCATTCTTATGGTTAATATTTTGTGTGCCAGTGATGTGCCAGACCCTGCTCTAGGTCAAGGACATGATCCCCAGCAAAAGAAAAATCATCTGTGCCCTCTTGGAGTTTGCACCCCACTCCCTTGCTTCATTGAGTAACCCTATAAAACAGATGGGGGGTGGGCATGGCTGTTCAGGGACATACATCAATTTGGAGGCAGAACCCCTGTTCTGGACCCTTTGTGCTTCCACCCTTGACCAAACAGCCCCTTTCAGAGTCAACACTCCAGGTGGCAAGGAGCAAGGACTTGTGTAGCCAACCGAGGCTTGTCTGTGTCACCTGTGACAAGGCCGTGGCCTGCGCCATGTGTCCTTCCATGTGAATATGACCACATGAGAATCTATTGAATCCCACGAACTTGGGGGAGTGGGCACAGTCCTTATCTACTCTTCATATATTTACCGAGGGGGTCTGCATGCCAGGCACAGGGCGTGCAGACACAGACAGCAGACATGGCTCCCGCCCTCTGGAGCTCAGGGTCTAATAGCAGAGACACACACCATGGGATCATTGCAGCGACAGGTCACTGCTGCTGTGATGCTTTTATGCCTGGTGCAGCAAGGAGCAAAGCAGAGGGAGGATGTTTTTTACCTACGGGCACTACATCCATGAAGTTGAGGGGTGCTTGCCACTTGGGAGGAGCATTGAAGTTCAAAGAAATAGCCTATGCAAAGGCTGGCCGGCGCAGGAGCTCATTGGGGAGCAGAGGGGGCACAGCACTAGGCTATCTAGTGTCCCAGGGTCTGGAGCTGCAGTGACCCCTGCAGGCTTGGGGGAGGCCAGGGCCACAGGGAGTGGGGAGGGAGGAGGCTTGGTGGACAATAGAGGTCTGGCCCCCATCTCCCAACAAGAGCAAATACTGGTACCCCTACTGAGGGTGGTTCGGCAGGGTGGGGGGAGATGGGGGACAGGTGGGACTGTCCTTAGGGGAAAAGGAAGCCCCTGGACTGAGTCCTTCCCCCCACCCACACAGGCAGCAATAAGGACTGATTCTTTGGATGTTCAGGGCTTGGGCAGCCGGGAAGACCTGCTGTCAGAGGTGAGTGGGCCCTCCTCACCTCGGGCCCGGGCCTCCTCCTTCTGGGGCCACCCGGGCACCCAGATGCAACAGCACTCCCGAGGAGAGAGCAAGACCTCGAAGCACATGCCCCCGCCGGCCCCCTGCCTGGGCCTAGCACCCACCTGGGGCAAAGGCCTAGCAGAGACCAGAAGCAGTTTAGAGCTGGACACAGAGTTGAGCTGGATTTCAGGAGACCTCCTGCCTACGGGCAGCCAGGACGAACCCCCATCCCCAAGGGATCTGAAGAAGTGCTACAGCGTGGAGGCCCAGAGCGGCCGGCGCAGGCCTGCATCCTGGCTGGACGAACAAAGGAGGCACTCCATCGCGGTCAGCTGCCTGGACAGCGGCTCCCAGCCCCTGGGCCCTGGCTCCTCTAGCCTCGGGGGCAAGCCTCTTGGGGGGCCTGGGAGTCGGCCTAAGAAAAAACTCAGCCCACCCAGCATCTCCATGGACCCCCCAGAGAGCCAGGGCCCTCGGCCCCCTCCTAGCCCAGGTGTCTGCCTTCGGCGGAGGGCTCCGTCCAGCGACTCCAAGGATCCCTCCTCCTCCGGCCCCCCTGACAGCATGGCTGCCTCACCCCCCCCAAAGAAAGACATGCCGAGTCTCTCCGGTTTATCCTCCCACTCAACAGACCTGGACCCTTGAGTCCTGCCCTGCTCTCCACTCACCTTTCTCCACTGGGTGCCAAATCCTAGCCCCTCCTCCTGGGCTTTATTCCTGAAAAGACGGTCCATCTGGACACCAAGGAGGCACTCCTCCCTGCTCAGTGGCACTGGGCACGGGCAAGCAGAATTTCCAGAGAGTTCCAAGCAGCAGCCCTGGCCACTGTGGCTCCAGGCAGAGAGAGAGAGGCCCAGTGTAGCTGAGGTTCCCGACACCAGGAGCTGTTGGGAGAAAGCAATACGTTTGTGCAGAATCTCTATGTATATTCTATTTTATTAAATTAATTGAATCTAGTATATGCGGGATGTACGGCATTTTGTGACTGAAGAGACTTGTTTCCTTCTACTTCTATGTGTCTCAGAATATTTTTGAGGCGAAGGCGTCTGTCTCTTGGCTATTTTAACCTAAAATACCCAGTCTAGTTATATTCCCTCTTCTTGCAAAGCACAAGCTGGGACCGCAAGTGCATTTCAGCCTGACGGTGGCCCATCTTCAGCGGAGAGCGAGAACCATTCTGGAAACTGTAATGTAACTTATTTTCTCCTTTCACCTCGTCATCGTTTTCTGTAGGAAAAAAAAAAAGAGAAAAAGAAAAAAAATAAGATTTTACAAATGAAATGGAACCTTTTTATATCTACATACATACATATCTATATCTATATCTATATATAATAAAGTAATTTTCCAAAATAAAAAATTAATCACGGTCCAGAGTAAAAGCAAAAGGGACAGAGTTAGGCATTTCCAGATGGCGCTGGAGAGAGATTCCTGGAGATGGGGAGTGGGTGGTAGGATGTGGGAGAGAAGGGGTCAGAGCTGCCTCTGTGTGAGAGTGTGTGTGTGTGTGTGTGTGTGTGTGTGTGTGTCTGAGCGTGAGAACCCAAGACACCTATCCCTGAAGGAGGCCACCTCAGGGTCTCACCTCCCAGGGCCAAGGCAGAGAGAAGCCCCTCTGCTTGGAGGAGGACGGGCAAGCAGAGTGGACTCCTTCTATCAAAGCTTTATCGCTTCCTGTGAGCCAGGCAACTCTGTGAATGCGAGTAATTCCAGATTAACTCTTATTTCTGCTGACAGCTACCAGCCGCACATTGAAAGCTGGAAATTGGCATAATGAAGCTGTTTTGGTTAATGGGGCCGACTGAGGCTGGGGGAGGTGGCCTCAGCTGCTGTCTCTCTGCTGGGCTCAGGATCTGTGGCTGGTGGGGGAGGGGGCAAGTAAGTGCTCTCTGGGTGTTCCCTTCCAGGCCGCAGCCTCCGGCCTGGGGGACAAGGGGTGGGGCAGCACTGTGGGGCACCGCCCCATCAGGACTGGCAGTGGGATTAGGTTGTGTAAACAGAGTGTGTGCTCCCACCCTAGGGCCCAGGGGCCACCTCCAGTCGAGTTGCCATTGGCAGGGTCCAGCAGTCTGGCTGCAGAGGGGAGCTGGCCCCCTAGGGGGTGATGAATGAGCACCATCAAGGTGTTTACATGGTCTGCTGCTGGCTGCCCAGTGGGAGCCAGTGGAGGAGGGAGAGGGTGAAGGCAGTCATGGGTCAGGAGAGGAGGAGGGGCAAGCAACCTGGCACACAACCTCCATCCTGGTGCTACCACGGGCAATATTCTCTTGTCTGAAACCCTGGTGCCGAGAGGTCAGCACAGGCTCCCACCGCAGGCTTAGCTGGCTTGGCCCCTGCCAGCCACCCCAAACATCTGCTCCAACCACACTCCCTTGAGCACCTCTTACCCTTCCTCCCAGCACCTCCAAAGCCCAGGGTTCTTGAAACCTCACTCACAGCCCCCATCTTGAGTCTGGGAGCTGGGGTGCCAGCCCGCTGGGCAGATGGACCTGGATGCTTCATCCAATCCTGTGTTTTCTAAGCTGGTGAAGGCTTTTCTAATTGCTCTTTTGGACAGAAATGACACCACTCCTTGAAGCAAATGCCTGGTCTCGCCCTCTCAGGGTGCAGCAGTGTCCAACTCTTTTTCCTCTAGCCTCGGATGTGGAGTGGGGGTGCTTATAGGAGTTTTGTTTTTTTTTTAAAGCAAAGCTATATGAAATTCCTAGAGTTTTGTCACCTAGATCTGCAGATTAAGCTTTTATATTTTTGTAGAATTCTGTAGTTGTCTATTCCCGAGTAAGGATGGGGGATTTGGGGAGGGGGCTCTTAGCGTCTTTTTCCTTCTAGTGGTTGAAGAATTCTGGGTCAAGGTGAAGCCAGAGAGCTGGGCTGCCATCCATCCCCTCCATCCCAGGCTTCCCCTGTCTCCTACCCTCCAGCCCCCAGGACCCTTCTTACCCACCCTTGCCTCTGTGGACAGCTCAGCAGCGCTGCAGCAATATGGAGTTACTAGCAGGCTTGGTTCTTCCTGGGGGTGCCTGACCCTGATCCCCTCTTCTTGGTAGGAGCAAGGCAGCTTGTTTGGGATGCACTAGCTATGCTTTGGGGGGTGCTCTATAGAGGTCTTCAGTGATCAGCCTGGGGAAAAAGGAAAGCCCCTCTTTCTTTCCCATCCCCCATCAGTGGACTGGAGGGGAGCACCAGGGTAGTAATGTGGAAACTTTAATAGCAGAGACAAAGTGGATATTTTGGAGGAGAGAATTGTGACCTCTCCCTCAACAATCCCCCCCTCAACAAATGTAAACTCTTTATCTATGATGGAAACTGTTGTGTCTCATTAAAAGGGTTTTGAAGTGGAAATAATGACTCTGCTGAATCTTATTAACAGTAGTAATAATAACGATGCTGCTAACCTCCTAATGCTTGTCCGGATGGTTATTTGATTCTGCTCCAGGATACATGGGGCCAGGGAGTGGGGGCCACTGCAGGAGACTGGGGTAAGGAGGGACCCGTGGATTAGGAGCAGAGTGGAATCTGGCCATGAGCTTTAAGGACTTGGGAAGTAAATCTTCCCTGACACTTCTGCCTTCAGCCTTCTCCTTGGGGCATTAGAGGAAATTGTGTCAACTGCTATAGGCCTGCACCTCGGGCTTGGCTGCTTCTGCTTCCTCCACCCCAAGACTCCAGGAAAAGGTCTCTCTGGGGGTGGAGGACCGGGAAGAAGAGTGAGCTGAGCTGGTGCTAAAAACAAATCTGAGGCTCATCTGCAGTCTCTCACTTATTCCTCAACACCCTAGCTAGAGAAGTACCGTTGCTGTCATTTTTCCATCAGCCGGTTGATTCAGAGAGGTTAAGTGAGTTGCCCACGGTCACACAGTCGCAAAATAGTGGAGCTGGGATTTGATCGTAGGTCTGGCTACTCTCCAAACAATTGGCTTCACACCGCCCCAGCTTCCTGTCATTGTGAGGGAATGAGACGTGGTGTGAGGAATCCTGCTTACAAAATGACTTGCCATGGAGCCTTTTCCAAAGCAATCATAGTTATGTCATTGAAATGTACACACGTGCTCCCAGTTTGGTGTACTCAGAAGCTTAAATAAGCCCACAGAGCAGAGCCTTGGACATGAGACAGTGTCCTCAGCTCCAGTTACTTGTCAGAGGGCTGGTCCAGGCTGGCTCTGGGCCCCTGCTCTCCTCCTCCCACCCCCTCGTCTCTCCCTGGCCCACCCAGACCTCTCCCACTTTCCAAACAGCCTGAGCCTCTGTTGTCACTCCTAGTCCCCACCCATCACAGCTGGGCACCTCATGACCTCTGCTCCCCTATCCCTGGCCGGCTCAGCTGCCCAACCTGGGTTTGACTGTGGCCTCATTGTGAAGGCATCAGACACCAGGTGGCAGCACCAGTCCCCTTCACCTGGTGCCCGCCTTCTGCAGAGGGACCTGTCCAGAGAGAGGACAGCAACTCCGATGGGCACCTTGGAAGAACAGGTGCTCTGTGTAGCCCCCCAGAGGAAGCATGTTTTAAGAACCAATGAAGGACTTGCCTGTGTATGTGTTAGGGGCCGGGGATGAATCCACCATTGGGGTGCTAAGCCCAGAGTACCCAGTGACCCCTGCCTAAACCAGTGAACACATAACGAATCCAGGAGAACCGTTGCGGGGGGTGGGGAGGTGGGAGGAATTCACTCTGAAAGGTGAGTATAGTTGTGGGCTGGCTCCCCACTCTGAGGGCAGAGTGAAGTAGGCCCAGGAGGTGTCAGCTCCATCCAAAATGCCCAGGAGAGAATTCTAGTAACTTCAGTACTGTGTGGCTTAGCACTGGTCCAGGTGTGAGAAATGCTGGCTGTGACCTATGGAGCTAATTAATTCTTCTTGCTTTGAAGACTCGAAAGGGACACAGCAGCCAGTGCTAACATGCATGCCAAATCAGATCTAGCGCAGGCTGGGGTGGGTGGAGGGGCAGCCTTGCCAGAGCCCCCTGAGGGGCCTGGTGTGGGTTTACCAGGTTGGGCTCTGGAGAAAACAGGTCTGCCCCATTGATGGGAAGAAAGAAGGGGGAGGCTGCAGTTTGGAATCTGGAGGCTGGTTTGTGGGTGCTCCAGGCCTTCTAGGAACCAAAAGGGACTAAAAGGAATTGGGCAGTGAGTGGCAGTGCCGTGGCAGCACCGCTGCCCCTGCTCTTCCATACCCTTCCCCTGACTGTCAGTTCCTACCTGACTCTTCCCTTTGCAGTGTTTCCTGTCCCTGGGTTTCCCCCATTTACTCCCCCCACCCCTGCTCTGCTTTCTTCTCTCTGCTGTCATTCCTGCTCTGAGCCCATACCTGGTGATTATCTTATCTTTCCATCTCCCTGCCAGGAAATCCCTGATGCTGGCTTCCCCAGGGATGCTCACTGGCAGGGGAGGCACAGCACACACTCAGTCCATCCTGCCTGAGCTGCAGTCAGTTGCAGGGGGGTGGGGGAGCAAAGGATGGGCTAGGGCGCCTCTAAACCAGGGGAGGTCTAAACCTCCCTCTAAGCCAGAGGAGGTCTTTTCTTTTCTCTGCCTCAGCCCAACCCACAGATCTTTTTGCTCTCAGGAGTCCCCAACTGGAAACATCTTCCTTCTGAAAACTCAAAAGCAGTGTAGACAGTACTCACTGCTGGGACTATCTAATGCCACAGTGGCCTTATTACCTCCATTCTTAGCACATAAGATACTTGTTTAGTCAATCAACAAACATTTCTAGAAGACCGACTGTGCCAGGCATTGTCCTGGATGCTGAGGATGCAGAGATAGGCTGGATGCAGTCCCCATCCCTACCTCTATCCTTCAGTTGTCCACTGTTCTCTTGAACATGTAAGCAAGGCAATCCATGAGTATAATACAGGGACGGATGGGCAGAGGTAGGGTCCCAGCCCAAAATGGACATGGGGGAGGTTCAAGGAAGCCTCGAAGGGGGAGGGATAGTGGACATGAGCAAAAGCTTCAGGGTTGAATAGAATTTGCCAGGGCAGGACAGGGCCAGAAGGGGCAGTGAGGCATGGCAGGTGAGGCGGAGGGAGTATGCCAAGCAGCCTTGAAGGTAGGCAGGGGCATGAGCACCACAACTTAGAACTCAGGCTGTGTGTCCTGCAAGAACAGACTGCGTGGGGCTGGCCCACTGCTGAGAGTGTGAGCTCAGGCTGCCTCTGTGGGGTAAAATGTTAAGGGCCTCAGTTTTTTGCCCTGGTGAGAACAACAAAAACCATAATGTCCTGGACATTTTGGTAGTTATTCAAGGGCTGTGTGAAAGGGGCAACAATCCATGTGGGGCCAGGAAGGGTGAACCCCCAGAGGCTCAAGCAAGATGGGAGAAATGGAGGATTGCCCAGGTCTCCCACCGTGGCCTCAGAGGCCTTCACCAATGCCAACTTTCCAATAGCAAGACAACAAGGCTCGGGCCAAAGGGGATGGTGCTTCAGCCCCATTGTTGAAGTCAGCACTCAAGAGTCCTAACCCCAAACTAGAGGAGGGACTGGAGGAGTCCCAGAGACTCAGTCCTTAGAAGCTTCGGTCACCTGGGCAGGAGGAGACCTCAGGCAGCATCTTGTCCAAGTTGCTCAAGAAACTGAGTCCCAGAGACATCAAGGGGCTTGGGGAGGTCACAGGATATACAAAGGCTCTGCCCCAGGCAAGGAGGGGGATGGGGGTGACTCAGTCAATCACTGCCCTCGGGGACATCTCAGACAGCCAGGGAAGACAGGCTCTTCACAGCTAAATATAACTCAAGGTACACTGTGACAAGAGTGTGAACGCTCTATAAAGTCTTTGACTCAGAGGTGGGGGTGAGGGTGTGAGTGGGAGGCAGACAAAGGTCTGAGAGGACTTGCCCAGTGGAGGGGGACCTAAAGGGGAGCCTTGTCCACCTGCTCCAGTGCCCCTCACCCATGTGCCTGCTCAGATCTCTGTTCTGGTAACCCATGACCAAAGAGACTTCCTTCTGGTGCCCTCCTGCCTTCCCAGAGAGACAGGTGGTGGCTAGTTGCAACTGTGCTGTCTCACCGGTGCCCGCCCACACCTGCTGCAGAGCAGCCAAGGAAGAAAACACCTTCTCTTGAGAACAAGTGCCAGGGAAGGGATCACCACCGTGAGCCTGAGCAGACCCTGCTGACAGCGACAAAGTTGGGGCGGTGAGGGCCAGGAAGAGAGGCCAGGGGAAGAGCTGCCAGAGGAAAATTCCCAGCTCCTGCAAGGGTGATGAATTGGTTTCTGGGATCCTGTTCCAGAAGGTGACTGGGGAGGGAGAGATGGAGGAAGGGAGGGAGGGATCTGAGCAATGGCTAAGCTGGGGCAAGCAGGAGGCCACTGAAGGCAAACCTGTTTTACAGATGGGCAGTGTGGAGACTCAACTTGAAAAGGGTGCTCATGTGAGGCTCTTCCTGCGGCCTCACTGCCCACCCCCACCCTGGCCAGGTTGAAAAGGAGGAATGAACACATATGGGTGTCTGCCAAGTGTGCCTGGCATCCTCAGAGTAATCTGTGAGGCGGGGCCTGAGATGACACCTGTTTTACAAAAGTGAAAGTGGAGGCACAGGGACGCCTGGACCACAGCACAGACCTCGGGGAAGCAGCACCTTAAGAGAACCAGAGCAAAGTATCACCCAGAGGATGCTGGGAACCCCCTGCCCCCCTCTCCTTGGGTAACACACCCTATGTGTTGTCTGCACAGCTTGGGCGGGAGAGGCAGCCTTCCGGATTGCCTGGGCATAAAATACTTCCCATTTCAGAGGAGGAGACCGGGATCCAGAGAGGACCATGACTTCATCAAGGGTTTTTCACCAAGGCTATCCAGCCGAGGCTCTTCCGTGCCTGCTGACTTATCTGCCCTCCGCGGTGCGTGGTGCCTGCGCCCCGGCAGGCTCCCTGGAAACAGACCTTGCTCCAGTCCTATGCCAGTCAGTCTCTGGGCTACTCTCCGGCGCAGCCCAGTGGCCACCGGATGGGGCTGTCATTGTGTCACGGAGTCCCTCCCAGAGCTGGTTATAATTCTCTGGGGCAAGCACGTGGAGGGGGTAGGGCTCCACGGGGCGTGCCGGGGCGGAGCGCGAGGGTAGGGGGGAAGTGGGGCGGGCAGAGGCGACTCCAGGGGCTGGCTTAGTCCCAGCCAGGGAGGCCACAGTGCTCGCCTTCCTCACATTCCTGTCTCCGCTGTGCCTTGGCCCCATGGACACCTTGTGCGGCGACGGGGAGCGCGGCTCCAAGTTCTGGGTAAGGCGCGAGACTCAGGGACCGCTGTGAGGAGGGACCAGAGGTGTCCCAACCGAGGGTACGCACCTGCAAGCCCCTGAATGCTCCTCAGGAGGGAGCCTGGCTGTACTGCTCAGAGTTCCTCCTGGTCTTTGGGACTTGCCCTGTGCTCCCCCAGCCGCAAGGAGGAGGCTGGG